ATTTTAATATTTTGGATCAGAGAAATTTGGTTTGGAAATGTGCAATTTTTCAGATTTAACCAAAACTGTGGAATTTAGTGACTAAAACGCAATTTTTGAAAATTCATGGGAATTTTCATAAATCAAAGTCAAAATAATTCATCTTTGACTTTGAAAGACGATAAGGATGAGTTGTCATGCTTTTTTGGTAAATAAGAAGATTTATTAAGGGTGATTTGGTCTTATCCTAATTAAATGAATATAATATTCATTTAAGTGGAACATAATGTAAAATACTATGAAATGCACTCAACATATCATTTCACTTGCTCATATTCTTCTCCAAATCAGCCGTGGGTTTCTCCTAAGGTAAGAGAAAACTTCAACTCAATTTTCAAGCAATTTACTTAGGATTTTGAGTATGTTGTAAATAGAAAATTGTTATATGCGAAAAACGCTATCAATTGGTACCAATATTGCATGATAATCTTGTTGGTGTTCAAAGATCCCAAATTTAAGGGTTTGTGTTCATATAAGGGATCACGAAATTTATGATGGATCTTGATGTTTGTGAGGTAGTAGATTCATATTCAAGCATGTATGATGATTAGAACATGGTTAATATTTCTAGAACTTGTTCTTTATGTTTCGGCCATGGATGGTTTGAGTGAGAAAAATTATGGAAAAATTATATAAGGATTGGAAATGATGAAGGAAGTATTTTACAAGCCTTAGAAAATTTGAGGACCATTTCGTAAGTTTTGAAAAGTTGAGGATTAATTTGTAAATTTTGGAAAATTGATGGGTTGTTGTGTAAGTGTTATATAATTTATGTATTATGCTGGAAATTGTTGTTTGGGAATTGAAATGAGTGTAAGATGTGAAAAATGACTATTTTGGAAGTTTGAAAAGGTTTGTGATTTAAGTACAATATTTGCATAGTTGGGGTACTTAAATGTAATTATACTTTTGTAAAAGCATTTGAATGGTAATAATTTCAATGATGGAATTATTAGTATTAAGAATCTAGGTGGTAAAATGGAGAAGGACCATTTTGAGTAAATTGTAAAAGTTGGTTCCAATACTAAAAATAATTAATAAGTGTTAAAGTATTCTGTGGTGAATAATTTGAAGTATGATTATGGAATTTATTTTGGAAATATATTTATGTTAGTACAATACTATCATATATAGGTATGAATCTATATTTTTTACAGATCGTGATTTACTCGGTGTTCAAAGTGATTCGAGTATAAAAGAAAAGGGTTATTGTGGACAATAGTGAGGCTCATATTTTGGAAAAATTATAAAGTGTCAAGGTGAGTGCAATACATGCATGACATTATACATATATGTTTTATACATCATCGGGAAGATTTTCGATAAGTCGACCTTGTTTATGTTGATATGATATTTATGTCATTTACCATATATTTGACATATTTTAAAAAAATGTCAAATGTTGAAAATATAATGCATTGATTATGAAAATTGTGATATTTTACCATGAATATTATTTCGAGTATGAACTGCCCATTGTTAAATATTGATAATATACTTTGCCATGGATGGATCAAATAAAATAGACTGTATGCCCAAGTAAGTCATTGAGGGACAAGGTATAGCATGCCATAGAGTCCAGCAGCAGGCTGCATATTCGGGAATACACTAAAGGATACCTAGTGTATATGGTGGGCACAACCATATGTGTCATATTTGGGACTGTACTTAAGGATACCTAGTACAGATTGTGGACATGACCATATGTGACATACTCGGGATTGCATTACAGTGCATATATTTGACTCGTGTACCAGGGTCCTCAGGGTTTTATATTGGTCTATTGTCTATGGTTTATGGTTTATTAGTTAAAAAATGGTAAGTATGCAAATAAACTTATAAGCTTATGGAATAAATGGAAAGTATATTGGAAAAGAATTTTTATATTCAATTATATTCTTTTGATCATGGTAAAATATTGATATGCTGATAATATGATTTTAAGGCATTTTGATTTTTACAATGAAATTCATGCATGAGTTGTATTGCACTGTTTATTATTTTAATTGCCTCACTAAGTATATACTTAGCGTATGATGATTTTCATGCGTAGGTAAAAAGCCATTAGTGGAATAAAGAGTTCAAGGCGATATCAAGCATCAAGAAGTATATTTATATATCAGTAAGACATCCTAAGATGTAATGTAGACATAATTAGTGGCATGTAATTATTAAAGTTTTATTTGCTTTAACAAATTTGGAAACAAAAATGGAATTTTTATGTATTTTTGAAAGTTACTGTAGCAATGAACAGTAACCATGTTTTAGCAAAAATTTCCAGAATGTAAAAGGGGAACCGATTCCTCCTACAGGGAACCGATTCCCCCACTGTTCACTATTATTATTCACTGTTCACGGGTACTATTCACCATTCATAAATAAATAAAAATCTTTTGTTTTAAATTTGTTATAATGAAACAAAATTCATATGATATTTATTTTTTTATAATATCATTTATCATTTTAAGAAAAAAAAAATAAATCGCTTTTGAAATGGAAATGGATTTCAAAAATTCGGGTAATATCTATATTCTGTATAGATATAATTATACGGGTTATGGGTGTTACAACGTGAGCCATGAAGGCTTTATAACTCTAAGTCATCAACTTTTGCTCATTCATCGTGAAAATCACTCCTGAGGTATTCTCATGTCTCTCCCTTTACATCATTATTTTGGTACCGTCTACCTTTCGTAGCTCGAGCTCTCTCACTCTACACCTTAAGCTCTCTTTATGTTTAGATAACAAGTCTATCCATAATATTACGTTAAACTTCTAAAATGGTTGCTCCATTAAGTCGTCCAAGGAGGTCTGACCTTTAATCCATACTGGAGATCAATAATGGATCTTATCAACAAGGACATATGATCCTAGAGGGCTTGATACTCAAACTCCTATCTCTAAGTCCTTAGATGGAATGCCTCTATCTCGGAAAAGTTTGTAACAAATATAAGAGTGGGTGGATCCCAGATCTACTAAAGCAGTAATTGGAACATAAAATATCATAAATATACCTAAGATCATATCATCTATATTGCACTCCTCCTAAGCCACCACTACATAATGTCTCGAGGCCACTCTCGGCTTTGATTTGTCTATGGATCTAGCTCTACCTCTATTATACTATACAAATGTTGTGTCATCACCTCATATGGACCCCGACCTCAATGAACATATGGTGTCAACCTTTGAGTCAACATTGGAAATACATTCTAAGCTTTAGGATAGTCTCTAATGGAATGCTTCAATGATCCACAATTAAAGCAACCTATCGATCTACGACGGCACTCTTCAGGATATTTTATACAATAGTACATGCAAATTAGATGGGACATGGTCCTTGTCGACCCAATGGCGCTCGCCCCTGATACCGATGACAAAGGTCACCTACGAGACTCAGATCTACCCCAACAATCTAAACTCTACCATGGACTCCTAGAATTAGTTTTTGGAGACCTCTATTATCCTTGAGAGTCTCTGGACCTTTTAATCAAAGTTTGCGATGATCACACTGCTTTGAAGATCTCCTATTCTACCCCATAAAACTGCTCATCAGATGGGCTCTCATAGCTTGAACCCTATCAACCGCGTTAGTCTGACGGGTTAACTCAACAAAAATCCTGGGTGGGCCAGTTACCAGCTGGGTACGGATGTCGATGTGTAGACAATCTCTAACCTCGGACACCTCTGATCCTTAGTAGCCAGCAACTCTGGAACATAACGACTTAGACATAGAATGTCCCTCTCATACTCAAATATTGACTGATCGTTATGAATTTATGAGGATAATTACATCCTCAAATCATCGGTATGAGCCTCTCTGATATATTTCTTCCCGAACCTAGATAGGAAGTACTCCCAAGCGAGTCTTTCAGGGTCCAAGGTCAACTCTATTGTCTATCACCAATCAATTGCATCACCTTCAGCAGAGTGGTGACGCACTAGAGCTTACCCTCAAGGGTAAGATACAACTTATGTAGAGTGGGGAGATTCTCTCGAAGCTATTGGTCAATGAAGATTGTGTTATCGTCTCTATACCCGAAGAAATTCATGGTTTTTTAATGACATAGCCTCTCTATTAGGGACTCTTTGGGTACAAATGTAGACGAAACTAGTAGTACATGAAGAACATGTAGGGTAGTTAGTGCCAGTACTTTTATTATATCCTTAAATAAGGTCACCTCTTCGACCACCACATCCCCTGGGACTCCATACTACTCGGTGTCCAAAACAAACTTATCGCAAATGTCTCCAGCAAAAGAGGCACAATTATCATCTTTACCCTTATGGCTAATAACAAAATTATCAACCATAGTTTCTTTGAAATTCAATAAAGAAATGGATGTTATTATCACCATTATATATATTCAAGTACCTTTAACACTCTAGGGCCTTGTTTGGTTCAAGTTATAATTCATTCCTGGGAGGAATGTTTTTTTTCTTGAGTAATATACCCATGTTTGGATGGATTCACATTACCAAGTGTCAGGAATGAATTAATACCAATAGTGATTTTATTTACTGTTTTCCCGGGAATATCTATCCATCTTCTCTCTTAGGTATTTCATTATTCCCGTCTCATTTTCTAAAATAACCTTCTCCCCATTTTGTTCTGGCTATCGAGATTCTCTGAAATTACCGCCGTGCGTGATTTTTGTCCTCCTTCCGTCGCCCATCCCCTGCTTCCATTGGTAGTATTTTGGTGTTAAAAGATTCGCCTTTGTGTTCTCATCTTTATATGGTTGAAGGGGATGCCAAAATATGGGCCATCGTCTTTGATTTCCATTGAAGTCGAGAACTATCTGTCTCCAAGGGGGATTTCAACAGGAAGACCGAACCCAGTACGCGTTTGAAGATTTCATAGAAATTTCCCGATTACGAAATACTAATACGTCAGGTGGAATTCTCTCTTTTCATTTCCTTTGTGTTTACTTTTCTGTAGATCGTTTCAATTATATGTTCTTTTTTCGATTCTGAAGAAACATAAATTCTTTTATTATATTATGAGAGGAAGGTTGTTAGGGTTATGATTTGTTTCTGATCCTTTTTTGCTTCTTTTTCTTTAGATCTTTTTAATTCTCCCATATTTGTTTGTTTCGGAAGAAACACAATTTCTTCCGAGAAAATTTTATAGTTGAGGATTCTTAGTTTTAGGTTGTTATTTTTTAATATTAAGTTCCTAACAAAGCACCATCAATCTGTCGAGAGTTTTTACTTCTGTTCGGATTTAAGGATCTAATACAGGGTAAGGTTACATATATAATTGGTTTATTTACTTTCAGTTTTGTTTGCGGATATCTTTTTGATAGTTTTATTAGAACTGGCTTTAGTTTATGTGTTTTTGACTTTGGACGTTAAAGAATTATTTTTAAATATGTGTGTTTCAGTTTTTTCTTAGATGACCTTGAAGGAAATGAAGGAGATCTTCACTTGCTACTTTGACTTGATTGTTTTTGAACATGTCTCCTTATTTTACTGTTTCACCAGATCTTTTGCATATATTGTCATGATTTTGGTGTAAAATAATTGGTCTTTGCCGCGGTCAATCATTTTTTTTAATCCAAAAAATTTGGCTTATCTAATTGGTAATGAAATTTGATGTTTATGAGGTATTTTGGTGGTTAGATCTACTGGGTATAGTTTCAAAGAAATGTTCAACTTAATTTTCCTTCTCATTAGAAATGAGAGGGAGGTTTTCAGAGGAATGCTTTTGTTGTTGTGTGATGTGTCCTGGAACTAATAGTTTGTTGTTGTTATGGAGATTAAGGCTTTAAGGCTTCTATTCTTGTAATTATAAAGATGAATATTTATAGAAACTTCTGGGTGTTTTTGTCTATTATAACCCATGGAATTATTAATGTTATTTGAGTTTGAGTTCTGATGATTGAATTTGTTCTTTTATTTTTTGTAGTTAAATACGTCAAGATGAGTCGTCCTCAGGAACCAAATCGCCATTTCTTCCATTTTGAAAATCATTTCCGTATGATATCGCCTAAGGGTTCTCAGTTGTCTCCAATACTTCTTTCTTTATTGAACACTTTTGAGGCCACCTTATCAGAGAGGCTAAAAAAAATTGTGCCTAAAGATAAGGGTGACATCCTCAGCTTGTCATGGATGAAATTGACAATGGAGTTACTTTATGAGATTCATTGTGACATAAAGAACCTGATAACTGAGCTTGATCTCCCTGTGACTGATTGGGATGAAAAATGGATGGATGTATACCTGGATATCAGTGTGAAGCTTCTTGATATCAGTAATGCTTTTACCTCTGAGCTTACACGGCTTATCCAAGGCCATCTCATGCTTCAGTATGTCTTGCATAAGTTGGAGTCCTACTCCCCAGAGCAGTTCACACGGGCCTCTTCCTCACTTGATAACTGAAAAGAGAACATTAGCTCTAAAAACCCCAGAATTGAAACTTGTCGGCCAATCTTGGACAACCTTTTGGAATCACTAAACTTGCCAAAAGTTAAGAACTCTTCAAAAGGAAAGGTGTTGATGTGAGCTATGTATGGAGCTAAGGTGGCAACTACATATATATGCAGTGTCTTTGCTGCTGCTTTCTCTGGTTCTTCCAAGCATTTGTTAGACTTAACTGTCCCTAATACATTACCATGGTCACAAGGGTTGGATAATCTTTCAAAATAAGTAGATATCTTTTTCAAAATAGTTTTGACAGGGCGTGATGTATTGCTTTGTAATCTAAGAAAGGCCGGTGATGCTGCCCCCAATTCGATGATGGGAAAAAATGTAAAAGAGAAACTTGTGAGGTGAATCATATGAATGTAATGAAGTTAAAACGTTATGTATACATATGGTTTAAGTATGAGACCTTCTGTTCTCTAACCAGTCGACATATACAATCGTTGGGTTATGCTAGTATTTAGTTTGTAATGTGGTGTATTATGATAATAGTCACTTGGTTGTAAATGTATCCTTGTTGTCCTATATTATAAGTTATATAAAAGGCTCATATTTCTTTGCAAATGTTCAGTACTTGCTATAAATTTTCATTCGCCTAGGATTTTTCCTACAATTAGACATGCATACTGTATGACAATGGATAACTGTTATAAATTCTTAGTGCATTTATTTCTTTTCAATTTGTAATATCTATGATCCTGCCACAATTGCATTGAATGTTTATAACATCTACTCTCTGTATGATCAATGGATATAATGCAGGAATGGCAATACAAACAACTATGATATGAATTTTTATATAAATAATTTTTATTTAAATATATTATCGATGAATTTTTATATAAATGATTTTTATTCAAATAATTAGAATTTCACTTGTTAAAAAATATAGAACAAGGTCAATTTGGTAAAATATACATTCCAGTAATCTTTTATTCCTTCAACCAAACACTGTAATCTTACATTATTGCCAAACAAACCAAACACAGTAATGTAACATTCCCAGTAATGTGTTAGGTAATGTTACATTCCGGTAATCCAATTCCCACTGGTAATCTTATATTCCGTGAACCAAACGCACCCTAGAAGCACGTACTACTGACACTTATTGACTCTAACTGCGGGTCCTAAGAAAGACTGAACCTAACACTCTGATACTACTATATGTAACACCCTAATCTAATTCGACCCAAAGCTTGAGGAATCAAGGCATAACAAGGAACCATCTAAGTGGCTAACCATTTTTTTTGAAATACTTTATTCGTATTAATCTTTTAAATCACAATTTAAAAATACGAGTATAGTAAGTTTACAAAAGTGGGGAGTTCCCAATAATACATCCCAAAATAGTGATAATAATAAATACATCAAAATAGAGTTACAACTCAAATACAGTTAAGGTAAATGAATAATACATTCCCACTAAAAATATCTAAGATGTATTCTACAACTGGTGAATATGAAACACGAATTAGTGATAAACTCCACGATGATCTTGCTAAGAACCTGCACACAAAAATATATTTTGAATGATGAACACACAAGCTTAGTGCCACACAAATAACTCTATTATACTTCATGTGTTCATCACATGAACATATTAACATGTATAATCATAAACAAACGAGAACATTAAACACATAAACATGGGTAGGCATCATGGTGTACTGGGAGGGTCACTTAGCATCTTGTGACTCGAACCCCTCTAGCCTACCTAAGGTACTTCATGTGAGGTACCTAGGGTTAGATCCAAGGTCATAAAGCATAGGAAATGTACACCCCGATGACTTACTCCTTGTGAGTACTGAGGACACATTCGCCTAAATAGTAATTTAAGTACCTCGACATTAACTTGGATATATTCAAATATTTTCTAACAAATAAAAAAATCATTGTATACTTACAAGTAACTCGAGTGTTTTCATCGTTTCCTGAACATCAAACAAAGACATAAGTTTTATGGAATATTACTTCATAACGTTATTATGTTATCACAAAATTATTCAATGTTTTCACTTGTAAGCTTTATTGAGAAGTTATGGTGATCCTTAACCCCTTCTTGAGTCTTTAACTCAAAATAAAGCTTCTTTTCCACCCCTAAGTGCTATAATATAGATATTTTTACATTCGATATTTTGGATAAGCCATGTTGTATCTATACCCCATGTGAAGTATTGGTACTATCCTTTTATGGTATCAATTCCACCCCTAAGTATTGATACCTAATTTACATTCAATGTTAGAAAAATTATACGAAATATTGATACTTGCATTTAGAGTATTAGTACTTATTCTTTGTGGTATCGATACTTCTTAGGCACTGATGCCAAATCTAGCTATTGAAATTTGTAACTTAGCGATGGTACTGATACCCTACCTTTGATATGGATACCTGAAGAACAATATCAATACTATATGAACAAAGTATCGATACTACACAACCAAAACACCTTGTTTTAGCTACCTAAATAACAATATCGATATTGTTCATCCGGTATTCATACTCAAAACCCATAAATACCCCGTTTCCCATGAAAAATTCACCCAACTCATCTTTTAAGCCACCTTAAGGTCCTGAAATGTTATTTAAAGCTTTTGAGAGTTAATGGAATCACAATAGATCATTTCTCATGATTTACTAACATCAAAGACATTCAAAACCATGTCCAATAAAAATATACACACATACTCTATGAATTCATACAAGCAACTCAAACTCGTAGAATTACCTACAAGTGGTATAGATAAGTTAAAAGTGTGTTTCCTTAGACCTAATTCGCTAGAAACAACCCAATGTTTAACTAAGTACAAGATTCTCCTTGAGTTTTCTCTTAGATATCTCTCTCACTTTTTTCTCTAATTACAAGCCTTAAAACTCAAACCCCACTAGAACCCCCACCATGGCCACCATGGCTACCATGGTCAAACCTCGAGGTTGAGATCTTGAATAAGAGCTCTAAGGGAGGATATTATGATTATTACCTTCACAAATTCGGACTAAAGATGTTGGAAAATAAAACTCTCACATTGTGCAACTTACAAGGAGAAAATGATGAAAGAAAGGAGGCGATGAAGAAGGCAAAAGAATGAAGCAAATGAGAAGAAGAATGATGCATGTTTTGTCCCTTTCTTAGTCATTGACATCCTCCAAATTAAAGGGAACTCAACCTTCGCAACAATAAAATGGTTAATTACCTCTTTGACCCCTCATTCTTTGGTCTTAAATCAAAAATACTTTTTTATGGTCATTTGGACTTCATTCAAGCCCAAACTAAACCAAACTTGGCTTTAAGTTTCCTAAAGACCTACTTTGTTCATCCAAAGCACACTTGGGCCAATCAGAAACTAATAACTCAAAATTCGGGACGTTACAATGATGACCCAGTGACTGACATACGCACTATAAATACTCCTAATTGAGTCTGGAAATGAGAATGGACTATCCATAATAGACCAAACCTCTTTCTTGTTCCTCACAATGATTCACTCTTTCTTTTTTTTTTCAAATATCAGCCAATGATCATTCTTTCACAGGTTTTGGGTCTCTACCCAAATCTAATGGAATAAATCATCAAAGCTAAAATAGAAGAGTGAAAATTAGAAACCCGACTTTGAGATATAAAGCAAAACACTACGCTGAAAAAGGTCTGAAACAAAACAAAAATGTTAACATCGTATCTAAAAAAACAGTTTAGATTCATCGAGCGAGAGCTCAACAATGTTTACCAAAATCCATCGATTGATCGTGCGATCATTATTTAAATTACAAAAGATAAAAGGATATATTACCTCATTCGTTGTCCTAATCGTTATAAATTCTACATAAAAATTAAACAAAATGATAAATTTCTCTTGGAATGTATAAAATGTTATAGACTAATAAAATAGACATGCAGTAGCCTTTCAAATTGAAAACTTTGATTTTAGCTCATAAAAACAATTTCAAATATTAAAACATACACATCTCCTAAACAAAATTGAAAATAGAAAACGTCAATATCACTTGAAGCATCTTTGGCTAGCGAAAGAAAAATAAATAAATTGGAACGAGTGAGCACTAACGAAAATTCGCCGAGAATCGAGCGAGTTTAACGTTTTATACTACAAGTTGACGAGGAAACTGAATTCTGTCGTGACAAAAACTACTGTTTCCCTTTCCCACTCGGAGGCCTAGTCTAATAGAGGTCACACAGTTCGCAAACGAGTTGACAAATGTTGGGATTTAGATTTGAATCTTATCTAATACCTTTTACAAGATATATATTCTATTAGTTCTTAGTTTCATTGACACTATTATTATTATAATCTGAAAATTATGAACTTGAACATGTTAAAACAAATAATTACCTTTAATTTAAAGTTACCGGAGTTATAAGTAGTTTTATATACTAAAAGTTACTATCATCTTTTTTATTTGTCTTGTGATATAATATTGTCTCTAAGATTTAAATTTAAATTTCTTCGTAAAAATTCAATACGATTTACCTTTGCAGTCAACATTAGTCGGTAGGTTCGTCCCCTCCTTTGCAACACAAAAGATGCCATTGACTTTAAGAACTTAGCTCTATAATCGCACTTTTCCAAAAAAATCTTAGCCAATTAAGGGCAAAATTATTCTAATAATGTGTAGGAAAAATATTTAGTCATGTAGGATGTAAAGAAAATTATTCTAGAAGTCGCTTGGACCATCCGATAATTTTTATAACACCACCCATTCCTGTTATAGTGCATGTATGAAATATGAAATAATGTGTTCCATACGAATTCCAATAAACACTATAATAAACACCCTATTTGAAAAAATAATTTTTCATACACGCTGTATAGCTAATTTTTTTCAACACATTATTCAAACAATTTTTCCGCCAAATAAGACCTGCGTATTACACTAGAGAAAAGGGAAATAAACAAAGAAGGATAAAAGAGAAAAGTTCTTGATTCATGATTAGGATGGTTGATCGAATGCAAGAAAACTTAATCAAGCTTAATAACTGGGATCTAAATAACGATCTTTAAGGGTAACTCGGTTGTGATAGTTTCTTTCATGACCAGAGATGGATCAAGAGCTTTTCAAATGCATACCTTGAAATCCGAATTTCTTCAATTAATTACTTATTTGCGTCTACCCTATTTAAAAATTTTATATTGTTAAATATGTATGCTCACTCAGAAAATTTTTATAAACTCCCTGTTAAAGAGGCTGAACACAAGAGAGAAGGAAGAAGACTGACAAAAAAATAATTTAAAAACAGAGAGAGAAGTATTTGGCAAAGGGAATTGTGATTTTATTTTTTATACCCTAATGTCAAAGAGAAAGGGGATATAAAAGGAGGAAGAAATAACATAATTTTCTCTAGGGGAAATGCATGAAGCATGCTATTTTTTGGGTTGTCGGGCATGAAGCACGTCGATCATTATATATAGCCGATAAGCATAGTGTACTCCGCTTGGATAATAAGCACGTCGCTTTCATTCTCTATTAGATAATCGAGCAAACCAAAGGCTGTTCCTATATAAAAATGATTGAAGTCTGAAATAGCACTCTTATTAATGCCTGGTATTAATATTTGTGGCGTATTGAACGACAGCTTGATTGTTGAATATATGTTTAATTGATATTTTTTTAACAAGAAACTTAGTTTTTATTGAAAAAAAAAAGTAAAATATAACAAAATCAATTTCAATATGAAAACCAAAAGGGTGTGAAGAAAATAAAATCAAAATCTTCCTTTGAATACTTATTTCATTTTAAAAAATAAACTTAGCTATTATTAATAATCTCCTTGTCCCTATTCAAAATTAGACATAATATTGACGTAGACGTGGAGATTGAGGGAACTAATATAATAGATTACTCCGCGAATGGTTCTAAATGTATTAAAAACTACCACAAAAAGAGAATCTAACAATATGAGACAGTCGACATTTTCTGATAAGAAGGTGTACTATGATGAATGCAACACAAAATGTCACACTATCATAACAATAGACAAAAATGTACTATTAAAGCCAAATAAGCAAAAATATTTTAAGAATATACTACAAGAAAGAAATCAAAACAAGAACTATGCTTATTCATATATTTAAATAGAAAAAAATCAAGCAAAAGAAAAAAAAGCATACATTAGGCCATCACTTCAACACATAAAAAAATATTAGAGAGTTACTGTAAAAGCTATGGCACCTAAATTTAAATTTATTTTGTTATAGGGTTGTCTACTTTTTTATATTTTATATTTTCGTTTACTATTTATGTTTTAAGTTTATAATTATCATTTTTAATAATATTGGTTATAAAGTTTAAAATATTTTTCTTTCCTTATTAATGTAATGTACATTACCATTGCTCGAAGAAGTTAATAAACTAAAGGGTAAATTACACCATTCATCACTGTATTTTACTCTCTTATTTCATTCATTGTATTTTTAATTTTTTTTTAATTTATTCACTGAACTTTATAGATTGCATTTTTAGTCACTCAATGATGATATGAATTATTTTATTATTTTTATATGCCATGTCATATTGTTATTAATATTTTAGTATTATATAAGATTATAATAAAAAAATTTAAAAATATTAAATTATACGCAAACCCTAAATTCCCAAATTATATCCTAAATCTTTAACCTCAAATTAAGATCCTCACCCTCAATGACATCGCCTTCTTCTTCCTAAACACCAATTAAAGTCCTCACCCTCAATGACAACACCTTCTTCTTCTTCCGTTAAATCTGTCATTCAACATTTGTTATCGGCCGGCGAGTAAGGAATGCTATGAAAGGTGTTCTATACTATACTACTTGGAACACAACAGCCACGTGGTATACATTTCCATTTTAAGATTTGGTGATTTGTCAAGTGAGGGTGTGGTGGGGATTATAATTTGAGCCACCGTCGATGAACCATCGTTGAGGCCGTTGACGAGCCATTATCCACCGGTGGAAGGATGAATCTGTCAAGGGTGAGTGTGGGCGGGATTGTAATTTGGGTTTAGAGTTTGAGATATAATTTAAAAATGTAGGGTTTGGATTTAAAATTTAAGAGTATAATTTAGAATTTTTAAATTTGTATTTTATTTTAATCATATATGATATTAAAATATGAATAAAAATATGACATGTCATATAAAAAATAATAAAATAATCCATGTCATAGTTGAGTGACTAAAAAAATTCAATTCTATAAAATTCAGTGAATAAATTAAAAAAATACAATGAACAAAATAAGAAAAGAGTAAAGTTCAGTACGAATGGTATAGTTTACCCTAAACTAAAATAGGTTTTAACGACTACTCGAGCTTTGAAAAGGTCTACGTAATGTCGGCTCAGTTAGCTTAACCTGTGTATTAAAGCAAAGCCAAAGCTGCTGATGAGCTTGTGGAATAACCGCAAGCTGAGGTAGACAGAAAGTTATGGATTTCATACCTAGTTTTATTTATTAGATTTCATACCTAGTGTTTTTAATAATATTTTTAAGCTTAAGAGTTACTTTTACCTTTTCAGTAGATTTAATTTATTATTTTTGTTCTTATAATATTTTTCACATCAATTTTTTCACACCCCAATTTTCTTTTGTTTTCAATTTGAAGTTTATTTAACTATTTTGGGGACCAATTCATGAAACTTTGAAAACTTGAGGTCAGTTTCAAAGTTTCAGGAAGCTCAAGGGCTTAAGGTGGAATTATTCTTTCATTTGTCTGCGAAAAAAATGTGTTTAGGATTGCAACCTTGGGGTTTCAAACCCACGTGCTACAACATGGTCACCCATGCCCTAGCTACTAGGCTATGGTGTTGTTTGCATAATTTTATAAACAAAATATCTTTTAAGTTATTTATTTGGGATTTTAAATCCCAAAGTTGATTTCCCCAGTTGAAAACAGAGAGAAATCCTTAAAATAAACATCCCCCAATTTTCCAACTTTCAATCGTCACCCCTCACCATTCGACCTCCATTCGGCCACTGTGATCATTATTGCCGTCATTGACATGTTCGCCATCCAGTCGCGACCAAAACCCTCAATCAGTTTGTCAAATGTCATCACCGTTTGCTGTGGATAGCATCTCAAAGCCTTGTCGAAGTTCTAAGTTGAAGCCTCGATTTTGTCATTTTCGACCAACCCCAAGCTCCGTTAGGCTCACCACCACCACTGACGGACTCATCGATGTCTTGCGACCAAAACCAAGTCGGTGGGTTGCTGCACCATAGTTGTTTTCTCTGCAACACATGTCGACACCATTTTTGGCCCGGGCAGGGAAAAGACCGATACCAACTCGGGGATTTTCTCTTTGAAAAATGTTTAAAAATGTGAGGAGTCGCCACCAATTATTTAAGGTGCCGATTGAGATACCGTGAAAATCGGGTGATTTTAATAAAATATTTTTCTTTTATCAAAATATCGAGTTTGAGGGTCTACAAAAATCCAGAAATCGGGTTCGGGAGTCAGTTACGCGTGGGGAAGGATTAACACTCCTATAAGCGCACAAAAATTGGTACCTAGTTGATTACCTTATATTCATAATCAGAAATTTTGAGTTTGATCTTTATTTAATTTGAAAATCATTATGGATGCAAAGTTGAAAATAATATTCGTTTATTGAGACCGATAACATTTGCTCTCAAGCGTAAATGCGAGAGATCAACTATTGTGTCTAATAACTGAATATTGTCTCGCTTTTAGAAAATCATGATGCGGTCTTTGAAAATGATGTCAACCGATTTCGAGAATCACCCGTAGTCATTCATTGAGCATAATTGCATGAGATGTACCATTAATTCCCTAATAAGTGAACATTGCCTTAGGTTTGAAAATAGAATGCAGTCAAACAAATTTTTATTTAATCCTAATTAAGCTAAGGCAAATTAAAGGTTTTTTTCTAGCTTAAGGTGTTAAATTATGAAATTAAAGGAACCTAGAAGCTCAAACCTAAAAATGTAGGCTCTAATATTAATCATATTTGATTTTAATAAATTATCGAATCGAATAATCGAGATGGTTTCTCGAGCATTTAGGCGAGGGTCAACTTGTATTATTCCCTAAATTTAAAGACTAATTTGAAAACTAACCTAAAGTGGAGGCTCTATTTAACCTATTTAATTATGTTAATTTTAAAGTTCTAATTGAAGTTCGGGGACTAAAAGGTAAAGATCTAAAATATCGAGTTCTAAAAGACTTAAAAGCTTAAGGACCTAAATTAATAATTTCTAAATTTAAGGACTAATTTTAAACCTAATTATAATCTAAATTATTAAACCTAAAGTTTTTTTAGAAAATATTACTTATTAATAAATTCTAAAACTCGAGCAATCGATTCGAGTAATCGAACATCTTATGCGAATACTCGACTCGAATTGCTCCCTAATTAAACTAGAGTGTCATCCGAATTTCTAAGTTCGATTCAAATATTAATCTAATTTAAAATTAAATCTAATAAGTTAAACTATGAAAAAAAAATTTAATAATAAAATTAATTAAAATAATAAACCAACATAAAATTAATTAAACTAATAAATCAACAAATAATAAAAAAAGTAAAAACAACATAAAATAAAAAAAACATCAATACAAGGACCTAATTGCATAAATATAAAATAACGATAACAAAAATGCAAGAAAATAAAATTAATAGCTAAATCAAAAATAAACAATGGCTAAATTAAAATAAATTAAAATTTAAAAGCTAATTCGAAATAAAATAAAAAGATGTAGGGATTAAAATGTAAAAACATGTTGGAATTAAATGGGCCTAAAAGAATTTTCACCAAAATAAATAAAAATGACAAATAAAAGGAGAAATATCAATTTTGGTCCATATAGTGACCGAAATGCAAAAACACAGGTAAGTTAGGGGGATTAAAACACAAATAAACCAAAAAATAACAATGTATGCACAGGAAAGGTCAAATATAAGTTTTGGTCATTTCAGGGACCAAATTACAAAAACATGGAAAACCTGTAGGGGTTAAACATAATTTTACCTATAACTTTCTCTATAAATACCAACAAATTTTGTTTTTCAAATCATTTTCAGCCAAACTAGAAAAAAAACTTAAGGTGCTCTCCCCACCCCCGACCAGCAGTGGGTTGGCCACCTTGAGCCCTTCTGGCCGTCGTCTGGCCACCGCATCGTCTATCATACACGACGGTCAGAAAACCTAAAACTGAGAGAGATTTGCAAGGATATTTGAGTACTTTTTTTCTATTCTCATGTTGGAATTGAATCATCGCTTTAGCTCTCGGCTTAAAAGAAAATTAGCGAAGCAAGACAATAGTCATAATTAGCATTAAAATAAAAGCTTTAAAGTAAAAATAAAGAAATGCGAGTAAAAGAAAAAGGAAGAAGTCTTATAAAAACAAAAATGAAGAACTTTAAGATTCGAATGATCAATGTTTACGCTAACCCTAGGAGGTATTTATAGCCTTCAAAAACCTTAGAAATGTTAAAAATAATCCTAAGGAAGTACAAAAAGATAAATCCTTGAAAGATAATTCCTAAACTTGAATTTAAAATGCTTGAAATGCTCCAGCCGTCCATCTATCTTCTAGAATTTGTTGACTGGACCTTCTAGAAGTTGCTGACTCATTGTCACGTTAGCATTTCATGCCCAAATTCATACCCACTGTTCCAACCTTGATTCCATAACAAAAAATGCAGTTTCCATGCATTTTAAGCACGTTTTCCAAAAGTCATTGGCCTACACAGAAATCATGTAAAAATGTCCAAATCAGCAGTAAAGATGAATAAACAAGGAACATTTAAGCATAAAAAGTAGCACAAAATAAAAACTAGTCAAATTCTGCTTCACTTGTCCAATGCTTGTCCTCAAGCATTTCTCAGTCAACATGCCAAAATTATAAGTTGTCATTCTCTAATTCACATCATGCATTAATCTTCCAATGAACCAAAATCAAGCAATTAATTGAAATAAGGAAACAATCAAGCAAGTGGCAAAGCTAGGAAATAATTTAAGGCAAAACAAAACATTCCAATAGCTCATTAATCTCATGATGCAAAACTCAATACCCTCACAAGGGATTCACTCATTCCACTCGAAGTGTTTAAGGACAAAGAAAAGCTCAAGCCAAAATAAGTTAAAGCATTACCATAAGCTTGTGATTAAATTCAATCTTCACTACTTTAATTGAATAAGATGCAAAAGTCAAGAGGTCTTTGAATCGGGTTGTAACATGGCTAAGGTATGGGAAGGGAAAAAGGCCGAAAAGAAATGGTTTAAGTTGCCAAGACAAAAGTTCAAAGAGATTCAAAACAATCCACGAATTAACATGAAGCTCAAAAAATAGAACAAGGAAAAAGAATAGATGAAAGGCAATTGAAACAACCAATTTTTCCTTCTTTTTTCTTTTCATTCGAACAAATGGTATATTTTTCTTTTATTTTCACTGTTCAAAACAATACATTGTTCACTTCTTTTTCTTCTTTATTTCGAAATTTCTTTTTTTCTTTTTTTTTCAACGAGAAGAATTTCTTTTTTTTTTTTCGAACATAAAATTTTCTTTTTTTTTTTGGAACAAGAATGATCTCGAGTCTCGACAAGGGTATGAAAAAGAGGGGATATAAAAGAAAAGGCTTTGCGTTGAATTAGATGAGGTGAAAACCAAACAAAAGGGAAAATCGACTCAAACATGGTTCACTAAGGGATAAACAAAAGGGTAGGCTTTTTAGGTAGTGAAAGGTTAATCCTAATTTCCTATATCATTCAAACACATCAAATTCATGCATGTAGTCTCAACTAGCATCAAACCACATGTTCTAGAATGCAAAAAAAGCTCGGCACACACAAAGAAACAAAGAGCAAGAACGAAACATGTATGCTCAACTAGGCTCAAAGCTCACAAAAATAGGTTTAATGTATTAAATCTAACATCAATTCAACCAGTAAACCATGGAATATAAAAAATTTCATGAAATATTCACTAGCTATGCCAATTAACGATCATACACCCAATGTTCAACTCAAAGAAAAGTTAAAGAATTCATCAGAAAAGATTAAAGTAATCAAATAACTACAAGAATAGGAAACAAAAAACTCAACATATCAAGATCAAAATTTCTTAAGTTCAATCATTCCACAAACAAGGCGAATTCAACATGCAATCCCCCTCACTTAAACCATTTTGTCTGCAAACATAAATTAAAATATAAAGAAAAAGAGAGAAAAAAGGAATACTTGCCGATCTAGTGGCGACCGTGGCCGCGACTGCGTTGAGATGAACTGCTGTAGAGCAGAATGTCCGATCGAGAAGCCACCAGAAGATATACTAAAATTTTTTGCAAAACAAAAATTAAGGAAAGAATAGATAATTCCAAGATTTTATTCTAAAAGAAGTAGACTCAAGAAAAGAACTAAATCAAGCATTATCATTTTATCTATTTTTCCCCTTTTTGTTCTCTTACTATTCGAACCAAAACTGTACTGTTTTTTTACTGTTAGAATAGTTTCACATTTTCTGCACTATTTTTATGCTCATTTAAATATGTGCTATATATTTTTTGCAATGTTCTGTTCGAACTTTTCTATACAGTTCGAACCAAATCTATTTTTTTCTCTACACTGTATTTTTCCTGCACCACACTGTTCAAATTTGTTGTGTATTTTTTTGCACTGTTCGAATCAAATCAATTTTTTCTGAAATATTCGAACAATGTATTTTGAAATTCTGCTTCCCTATTTTTTCGAAAAGATTCTTCCTTTGTTTGCTGCCACACGATCTCTTCAAGCCTTGGGGTCAGGTTTTCGCCATTTTTTAGCTTTCAGTTCGAACAATTATTGATTCCATATTGCTTAAAATTCAAGTCATAATAACGAGGTACCTAAGAAATTAAAAATTAAAACAAACAAAATGAAGAACGAAATTAAATAAAAATGAAAAATCGAAAACAACTGAAACAAATTAAATCAAATACGGGTTGTCTATCATAAAGCGATATTTTTAACTTCGTTAGCTCGACGACCTGTTTCAGACTACATGTTCAGCGACAAACACTTCCATTTTATTTCTTTATTCCAACTAAGAAATTCTTTGTGAAATATTTGAATATTATCATAAAGATTTCTTCGAATATTCCTAGGTTTTAAAATCTTGTCGAAAGGAATGGTCGCCAATACATCTCCTTTACCAAAAATTGGTTTCTTTTTACAATCCCACAATGGTTTCGACTTTATTTTCGACACCTGCAAAAAGGAGAGTAGATCTTTAGACTCGGATTGAACTAGAAGCAAACCAGATTCTTCAAAAAAAACATTTTTTAATTCCATGAATTTGTCTTTTTTATCTTCCGATTTCCTGCATAAATCATCAGAAAATTTATTTCCCATAAATTCATCAACTGAGGGTTTAATAATATCGACAAAATTTAAACTGACGGAATTTTCAAAAGGTTGCATCGCTCTATAGACGTCAAAGTCTACCACCTCGCCATTGAATTCCATCGTCAACATACCACTTTGTTCATCGATATTTGTATTCATAGTGCTTAGGAAGGGTTGGCCTAGTAGTATTTTAGAACAAGTATTTTTCAAGTCGTTTTCCATGTCAACGATGTAGAAGTTAGCAGGAAAGATGAGAAAATTGACCTTTACTACGATATTTTTAGCACTACCTCCGGGTAGATAACAAAACAATCCTCTAACTGAATTGTCACTCTTGTTTCCTTCAAAGCTTCGTTAGTAATCATTTTATAAACGGAAAGGGACATAACGTTAATTGAAGCTCCTAAATTACACATTGCACGCTTAATTGAAAAATTACCTATTTTAAAGGTATGTCGAACATACCTTGATCTTTCATCTTTGGTGAAAGTTTCTGGGTTAAAATCGGAGAAACATGTTTTCCCAGATTTATTTTTTTGTAATCGATCAGTTTTCTCTTCGTGGTGCAAATTTCCTTTAAAAATTGAGCATACCTCGAGACTTGGCGGATAACTTCAAGGAGATGTTTGTTAACTTGTACTTTCTGGAACACTTCTATAATTTCTTTTTCTTTAGCTCTTTTATCACGCCTCATAAGTCTTGAGGGAAATGGTGGTGTGACTTCATGGGAAGGGGAATAAGGAGAAGGTGTGATCTCATGGGAAGAATAAAAATGAGGAGTACGAGATGAAATTGTACCTTGATTATCGAAAAGTGGCATTTCTTTTTTAGGATTTGCGTCATTCTCCTCTAGGACTTTGGGATTGATAATGGTTTCGCTTCGAAGGGTAATTACACTAACATTTTCCTCGTATTCAATTCCATTTGAGAAGGTTATCTTTCTCGTGATTCAAGCCTTCCCACAGTTTGAGCCAATTGACTCACTTGCTTATCTAACTCTTCAAAACGTGATTCAATTCAATTTTGAAATTTCTCTTAGAAAGTGACTAACTCTTCCTAAGGAGCGACTAATTTCTCTTGGGAAATCACCAATTTCTCCATCATCACCTTCAATAATATCTTTTGTGTTTGTTGAAGTGGGGGTGGCCTCAGATGAAATGTCACTTTGAGTTCTGTGCATAATTGAAATTTGGGTGATCTCGCCACCCTGGATTTTATGTGTTTCCATACGGATTGTACGACCTCTAGGGAAGTCCTAAAAAGTTTCCTACAATGATGACTTCTACGTTACCTCCTTCTTACAATATCGGGAAGTAGTCCATCGGATGATCCAACATTGTGCATATCCCGCTGGTTTTTGTTACTTCGAATTTTTCAGCAACAAGTGCATTAACCACTTCAGTTAATTTATCTAATTTGTTTTCAATGGAAAAAGTACTTATCTCGTGAACCCGTCGGCTAGGTTCACTTGAAAACAGTTGAACATTAGCTGTCATTATCAAAATTAATTCTCTTGCTATTGTCGAGGTCATGTTTATGAGAGCCCCTCCACTAGCGGTGTTGATCATCTTCATTTCTGTGGGAAGAAGCCTTCGTAAAAATATTGCAGTAATGTTTGCTCGTTTAATTCTGTTAAGAGAAACTTATGCAAAGTTTCTTAAAACGCTCCTAGTAGTCATATAAATTTTTTTCTGGCTTTTTCGGATTGAAAGAATTCTCCTTCATAACTCACTTACTTTGGTAACTGGGAAATATCTATCAAGAAAACTTCGACTCATGTGAGCCCATGAATTAACTGAGTTTGGAGGTAAGTAAAGTAGTCATTCCTTAGCTGAATCACCTAGGAAAAAAGGGAAAGCTATAAGTTTTATATGATCTTCAGAAACTCCCTATGGTTTCATTCTAGAGTAAACCATTTGGAATTCCGTCAAGTGTTTGTGTGGATTTTCATTAGGAAGACCGCCTAAAGTGGGAATTAGATTAATAAGCCCCATCTTCAATTAGAACGAAACATCGCCTTTAAGAAATTGTTGAAAACATTTTGATATTTCGATATAACAAATTAAGTTAAATGAATTTTAAGATTTCCAAATGATTTTCTAAGTATATTCGATAGAATTATTCGAATATCAAAACATTACTCCAAATCTTTCAAAGATCATTTTTAATCCTTACTCAAAGTGTAAAATTAAGTTTTAAACTTAAAACAATATCAAAATAATTTTACAAAGTATTTCGAACCATTTCAAAGCCAAAAATTCCAGATTGCTTAGAGGGAACCGATTCCCCCTGAATGGTTTGGCTCCGAGAATTCCAGTATGCTCGGAGGGAACCGATTCCCCCCTTGTATAACGGTCGAAATATTTGAATTTTACACTTAGGGAACCGATTCCCCATAGGGGGTACCGATTCCCCCCACGCTCTAAACTGTTTTATTAATTGTTTTCACACTAAAACGGCTATATTATTTTCTCTAATCATCCCCAACGTTCAGAAGTGATTCAAGGTGTATTTAAGCAAGCTTAGAAGCCATTGATCAATAACAAGAAACATCAAGCAATTAGAATCAAGAGAGAATCAAAGAGAAATCATCAAACCTCAAGTTTGAGCATTTCAAGCCTATTTTTCATTCAATATTCATTTTGCTTTCAAGAACACTTATTGTGCTCAATTGTATTTATTCTTGAGTGTTCTTTCTTTGTTCTAGAATTGTGCAAACATATTTACCTTGTGAGGTTTTTCTTGTAAGTTTGCAAATTTGTATTTCTCTTTGAGAAAAGTGTGTTCTCAAGAATTGGGTATATTCTTGAGGGAGTTGTAAGGTTATCTCTTTGGCCTCAAAAGAAAGAACAAATTAGTGAATTTGTTGGAAAATCCTTAGTGTGGATAGCTAAGGTAGTGGACGTAGACTTTGGTTGATAAAGTCGAACCACTCTAAATCGCTGTGCAATTTCTTTTAATTTTCTACAAAAGCTTCCACAAAAATTTTTATTGCCAATTCACCCCCCTCTTGGCCGATTCAGTCAATCGATTAACTCAACAATTGGGATCAGAGCCTAACTCATTTGAAGGTTTAATCGCCTCTTGAGTCGATTCGGGAAGAGTTATATCAATAATCAAAGTCATCAATGGCCTCCGCTTCAAACTTCGACTCCGGTCTCGATTCGATGCCCGTCAACAAGCCTCCTTTCTTCAATGGAGCTAACTATGCCTATTGGAAGAATAGAATGATGTACTTCATTCAAGCAAGTGACATGGGAGCATGGAATGCTGTAGAAGAAGGATACATCAAACCTCTTACTCATCCAAGGTTGTAGAGTGAAGGAGAGACAAGAATGTTCCAGCTCAACTCCAAAGCCATCCATATCATTTTTTGTGCTCTTGGACCAGATGAATACGGAAGAGTTTCATCGTGTACAACCGCCAAAGAAATATGGGACAAACTTCAAGTCACTCATGAAGGTACCGATGAGGTAAAGAAATCTAAAATTAGTATTCTAACGCATATCTATGAAAATTTCAGGATGAAACCAAATGAAGATATCAAAGCTATGACGGATAGATTTTTCAACGATTGTCAATGGTCTCAAATCATATGGAGAGATCATTTCAAATGAAAATCTTATGAGGAAGTTAGTCTACTCCCTCCCAAAATCGTGGCAATCAAAGAAGACGGCAATCATCGAGTCTAAGGACTTAACGTCCTTAACTCTTGAAGAGCTAATTGGGTCACTCCTCACTCATGAAATGATGCTCGAAGATGAGGTGGACCTCGACAAGATTGACGAGACACCAAAGGAGAAGGAGAAGAAGAAAAACATTGGAGTTGCTCTCAAATCCATAAAAAATGAGAGTGATTCGAATGACGATGACGATGACGAGGAAATGGCATTGTTTGCCAAACGGTTCAGAAAAATGATGAGACCTTATCGAGGAAGAAAATTCAAACGAAATGAAGGCCTCAAAAATTAGCCGAAAGAGAAGGACCCAATCATTTGCTACGAATACAAAAAGCCAGGGCATGTCAAATATGATTGCCCACAATTGAAGAAAAAGGGCCAATCAAAGAATAAGCACATGGTTCATGTGGCTACATGGAGCGATGAAGAAAGTTCCGATGAAGAGGAACAAGTAGTAGCTAACTTGTGCTTGATGGCATTTGGGGAAGATTCTAAGGTAACCTCTAACTCATCCGATTTTGATGATTTATCCTATGATGAGTTATTAGAGGAATATAATGGGTTGGCTTCGGATTATGAGAAATTATTTTTAAAATATAAAAATGATGTTTCAAAATTGAAAAATGAAAACAAACTCATATCCAAAACCAACAACGATCTTGAAAGTAAAATCAAAGATTTGCAAATCAAACTAGAAGATTTGAAAGAAAAATTTAGATTTGCAAAATTACTTTCAAAGATCAATGATGATCATCAAAAGAAAATTGATGATCTTAAAACTTCTTTTGATAAAGTTGGAACAAAACATTTTGAAAAAGGTGGAAATTCAAAATCCAACTTTGTTAGAAAAAGTTTTAGAAACTACAATCATAGAGGTCCCCCAAAGAACCTCTAATGGAAAAATCGTTAGAAGTATGTGGGTTCCTAAAGAACTCATTACTAC